AAAGGAGAATCTAGTATACAAGTATATTGATACAATCAGAGTCGTATCTAGAGAATGCATAAAGAGGGGTCCAGAAGTGAGAGGTGTCGCTCTGCGGGCCCAGAGGGCCACAGCCCCTTGAGGCCAAGGTCTGGGGGCTGCCAGGGACACCCCAGAAGCCAATGGATTTTGAGCATTTAGAGGAATGACATTTTCACTTCAAAATAAGACCTATCACAGACCTATAGCCCAATGGCCCTCCCCCTTAATACGCTACTCGATACAATCATCACTGTTCAATAATTAATTGAAAGTGTCAGACACCATGATCGCCTATCAAAAGTAAGTCTGTTTCTGATTGTGTCCTACACGTGCATAAATATCATTAACCAACATTGCATAGAATAAATATCAACCACAAGGGTGTGATTTAAATAGCCATTTTACAAATATTTCTCTAAATAAAAATTAGACGATATATTTCAAAATAGAAACAAGTCTACCAAATAGCCATTTTAACAACCTTAATTTCAAAATAGTCATTTATAAAACTTTATTTCCAAATAGCCATTTAAACAGTTTTATAATAGCCATTTAAACAGGTCTATTTCCAAATAGCCATTTAAATAACTTTATTTCCAAATAGCCGTTTATGCAAATATATTACTACAAATTGGAAAAAACCCAATAAAATTTGTACATCTCATAATTAATTAACAATCTCAAATATACAAACAAGAAACAATCTGTATCATTCATATATACAATTCACTGAGGTATCTATATATACATTCATCAATATCATCAGAGGACAATATTCAGTTTTACAGTTGATGGGGATTGTCTGAGCTTACTAAATAGTAGAAGGTATTTTGTTTCTTTTGATTTCCAAAATTAAATTTTCAAATTACTTAATTTAGTGAAACAGGCAAGTTTTAATATATATATGATTGTTAACAGTATTTAGCCCTTTTATAATATCATGTTATGGGTTGCATCCCAAATCAGGTATATCAAAAAATATGGCTACATCCCTTTGTACACAATATCATTTATTAATCAGGATTAAAGCTTGAATCATCTTTAATGCATTTCCGCAAAAAGGTAATCATATTTAACATTTTACATCTGACAATATCAGGACATACTCATTCTTTTGGAATACCTAAATTTACATAAAGTTTTTCAACCCAGGATACCTTTTGTACAAGTAGTACACAACATAAATATTCATAGACTGAGATTGGCCATTCAGCTGCCTTGAATAACACTTGCTTTGGCATTATAGTCTTCTTGATTGGGTGAAATCATTGCAATAAATTTTCCAAAATAGAATTAACAAGATGCAATGTTAAAAAGTTTAAAAAACAGTTTTTATAAACAACAAAGGTGACCAATGTAAACTTCTCCTCACTGTAAACTATATTGAATGTTTAGCTGACTTTGACCTGCTGAAACGACAAAAAATAATTAACATTTATGAGGATAAGAATTGAGCGCATGAGTAACAAGCCTGATGAGAACTCAGTATTTAAGAATAACAAGCCTGAACAGAAATCAGGATTTTTTAAATAACAAGCCTGCTCAGAATTCAGAATTAGGGAATAACAAGCCTGATCAAAACTCAGTATTTCAGAATAACAAGCCTGATCAGAACTTTGAGATTTTGAAATAACAAGCCTGATCAGAACTCAGGATTTGAGAATAACAAATGTTATCGGGGCCAAGGAAAAAAGCTCTGAAATTGGAACCTTGAAACTGACCTGTTATTAGCTAGAGATCTTCGTGGTTTGTTTGTTAAAATTCTCTCAATCTCTAACAAGGTAGGCTTGGTTAATTTGGGCAAGTACTGAAATAGATAATATTTTAAAACCAGTGACACACATATTAATGTTAAACATATCTCCAATAATAAACCATTTAATATTTGTTTCTCCAAAATTTAACATATTTTTTGTAGGTTGTAATTAATCATATTAACTTTTGAGAAACATATCCTGAAAAGCTTGGATTTGGCCAGGGGGCCTAATTCACCGAAACTTAGCTTTTAGTGTTCCAGTTATTTAATTGTTTATCAATAAAATCGTGTTCAAATTTAGGATTTTTATCCAATTCAATTACTGTATTTTTGAGCAAATCTGGATTTTTATCTTGTAAAAAAGGCCCCAGGTAACAAGAAAATCTAGGAGCCTTGTTCATATGTTTGCCTCCTTCCCCAGGCAAGTTGTGCTACAATTTAATACAGTGTTTGTTTAAGTATTAAGGTTACCAGAACCCTGTTTCTTAAAATATCGTAGACTAACGTACAAGCAGAAAAGTTATAAATTAAAAATTCAAGGTTTTTCGACACTTAACATGTAAGTTCATTTGTACAGATTTTTCAGAAACAGGTTCCTGTATTGTTTGTCTACACTATGCTTAATCATGTTTGTGAAAACTTAAAAGATTGTTTCCATTAAATAGAAAATGGCTGGCTAGCCTCATTATTCGATGACAAAGAGAGTATTATACATGCCTAGCATCTATCTACATCATGCAGGGTTATACAACAATAGGTGTATATATAGGGTATATATTTATATATCATACAATATCTAATACATAGTTCCAGCAACCATGCCATGGTCATATTCCTTGACTAAAACTCTAATTTAACAATTCTGTATTTATCACATAAAAACACTGTTTATATCGTCTATGGAATTAATTTGATTAAACTGCAGATTTCGATGTTTGATTTACGTTTTGTCTACAGGCCAGTAGCCTACACTTGCCATCTATGATCTGACTCGATACTTCTTTAAATAGTGCCTGGTTTAATGATAATCAGTATTTTAGGAAATCTTCTGATAAACAGCACATTTGATTGCTTGAATATAAATAACCCAGAACAGGAGATGCATAACAAGTTTATCAGATCATGGATGTCAAGTGGAGTTACATGCAGAAAATACACAAGATCAAACATCAAAATATTCATATATTCAAATGAAATTATTTCTATCTGGCAAGGATCTGTAATGTGCACAGAGCATTTTCAGCCTTCTAAATATGTTAGTCTTTGTTTTATAAGTTACTGCCCTTGAAACATTAGTTCTCTGGAGAGTCTAAAAATTCTTGTTACTCGATTTCCATTTTTTTAAATTATCAATTTTCATATCTGGATATAAAATCAGTTATTCTTAGCAATGATACACAAATAGAAAATAATGGGTTATATATAACAGTAGGAGGATTTGATGATGTTCTGCATCCAAACATTTAACGGAACCTTAAAGAGACTGAAAAGAGGTTTCCAAGATTTTTTTATTTGCATCCAGGGCACTTATTACCTCTGGTTACTAATTCTAATTTCAGGTCCAACTAATCTCCCAAATCATTTAAAGCTGGCATTCACACAGTTGTGATAAAAATTTGGAAATTGCAAATTGTTGTAAATGCTATATCCCTGATGCACTTGAAAAAAAGAAATTCAGATTTCATTTTTCTTCGAAGTTATCTGATACAAGGAGTATATAAAACCTCTTAACAATCTTCTTATATATGTAGTACCTTAAACTTTAGTTTCTCTCAGTCCACTAGGCCTGAAAACAAACGTGTTCTCTAAGTTTATAAAGTGTGCTCATGGCTGTTTCTCTAAATTTTGTTTGTTTTGCAAAGCAGGGTGAGAATTTGACCAGAACCAATTGAATTTCAATGGGATATATATTGAAAACTCTTCTCCAATATATATATATACAGTGTCATATGGATTTATCAGTTTTGAGAATTGACGTTTCTTTTGCTTTACAGTGTAGCCTATGTGTAAATATTTTGGATCAGAACAATCACGCATGGCTGGCATATACAGTCAAATTAACAGCCCTGCAGTGGAAGGAACATTGAAAGCATTGTGAAAAAATAGTACAGAATAGACAGAACTGGATTACAATATGTTGTTTACACGTAGCTCTACTTTCATTTTGGCATACCATACTTGAGCATATATTGCAAATGGCACTTTCTTTTTCGAATTACCACCAATTTTCAACTTTAGTTTATATTTCAGATGACAGACTACAATTGTACTATTGTTTGTTTAAGGAAACACAAGACATCCCCCAAATCTGGGTTGTATTCTTGAAGGTAAAATGCTAGCATACTATTGTCAGCTTATAGAAACATCAGACATCACCTTGGTTATATTCCAAAGGAAGGTTCATTGTTAGGTTTGCTATTAGATATCACCTATTGCTGATGATGAACAACCATGTTTCTATTGCCAATTTTATCTTGCAAGTGTCTAGTATGCCAAAATGAACTCCTAATGATGTTTTTCTAGGCTACTAAAGCATAATTTCAAGCCAGTTTTGAAATTGTACCATATTATACAACTGTACTTATAGCTATATATATATCTGTATATGTATAGTGTATTACACACTGGGGCTACAAGATCTAAATAAATTTAACTTAATCTTCAGTCTTACTCTGCACAGCTTATTACATTATCAGTTGCTGATTTTCGCAAGTAAACTTTAAAATCAATATGGATATATACCTGAAATGGCCCTTTACCTTAATGCTAGTTCCGTAAGTATTTCTTAAAACTGACTGACTCATTTCTGTTATTATCTTCATGTATGTATCTGGGACATTTATAACTTATATTTACACAATTCTGATTTCTGATTTTAATCTATGGTTCCCATAATTCCACAAAAACTTTGACCAGATTATACATAGTATTGTGGCAAGTGCTATTCAAGCCATATGGTTGGACAGTACATCTCAGAGGGTGCAAAAAGATGGTAAATGTGTCCCTGATACACAAACAAACGCCAAACATTATGTTTTGAAAGAAAACTTAAGGAGTAGGGATATCTTATAAAATGAGAAGAATTCTGATCTGTTGTGCAAAGTAAAATTGATAATTATTTTCTAGATTTAATACAAACCAAATTAGGCTTGAAAATTATCAATAATCATTTAAGGAAAATAGCTCTCTAATAATTCACTTAACCATTTGACAGAACTAAACTTTAGCTACCTTTATCACTTGGATTTACATTTGTCTGTAATTAAAACACAATACGTAGCTAAAATTGAGTACTGTCAGTTTTCTCTGATTCTAAAGTATATTATTAGCAAGTTATCTCCCTTTAAAATCAAATTTATTTAGATAATACTAACACATATACAATATATTTAGTTACCATGACAATGAGCGTCGAAATGATCCCTGAGATGATTTTCGAGGTGGTTTCATATCGAGTACCGTGTCTAACATTTCCTGAATATCCCTGGTTAGACTAGACACGAACTGTCGTGCAGTAAAATGGTTGTTAAAAGGAGAGTGTGAAAGAAAAAAGAGAAAAAAAGAACTCAAATCATAATTATCAAAGAGAGATTATCTAAGGATCAATGACAGCATTAATGCCAGCTCATATAGAAAATCAGCAAGAACAGAACATTCCCTCCTGAGACTTTAGAATAAAACCTAAAACTCTTCCCAGAATTTTGTGAATAGTTTAAATAGAATAAACACAAATTTGATAAAGATGTCAAATGCCCTATTCTTGAAACATAAAATAGAAAGCCCAAACCAAAATTTAATGAGTTAAGTAGGCTAAATGACAACCCAAACAATAAAAAAAGAGAGCCTAAGCCCTGTTCCCCTGCTGAAACTAAACAGTTAATGAAGTTTCCTGAAACTAAAATTTTGATTAAAATAATGATACAAAGAATATAAAGAGGCTCAACTCAAATTAGAGTAAGTAGTAAGTGAGGGTTATTGTCAAATTTCAAACAGTGCTAATTTATTACAGAGAAAATGCATAGTTAGTAAATGTTTTAAGAACTGTTGTCTGTAACATGCATCAGGGATGGTAAAGATTTAGAATAATTTGTTAAGAGCCAGGCCAAAACTGGGAAAGTGGTGAAAAGTGAAAAAATGTAAATTTCTGGCTTGTGCATTTAAGAATGTATAAATCAAAGCACTCTGATTGCACTAAAGGATAAATATGGCAAAGAAGTTGTAATCCTTCACTAAAATAATTTGGTTTCAAGATCAAATCATAAATCAAGTACTGTGTGATTGAACTCAATTTCAGATTAGATTTTAGGGCAAAAGAAATGAAATTAGTAAATTAATGGGGAAAACATGCCCTGTATTCTTTCAGTAAATCATACAGTGTCATTTTCTTGTTTCTATCAGAAAAATATCACCCTCTAAATTCAGAATTTTCAACCAAAATTACCTGAAGAGCTTGTATATTTTCATAAAGTTGTTCAACAGTGGAAGCTCCTATCAATACACAATGTACATTTTCACTTCTTAAACACCAGGCTTGAAGATAAACAAACAAGAGATTCAAGATCTATTAAATTGTTTATTAAAAGGGACAGATTTGTATTTTTCAGGGGTTGATTTGGGTCTTGAAAATAAGTAAATAAAGTAAAGTAAAGAAGTGCTATATAAATGTACGAAAATCACTAAATTCCTTCAAAAATACTTCTTTTCTACATATATGGCATTATCTGAAGAAGAGAAGAGTTGCCATTTTAACTTTCAAACATGGATAATTCTGGATACACATGAGAATGATAGCTAAAATTTAAATGGTGAGCTGTGAACATTACTGATTACGTCCACTTACAATGACATGTTCTCCATTACTTTTACAGATTTTACTTTAGTCTCAGAAACAGGAATTTTTTAGCTAAGCTTATCAGTAATAGTGTTCACAGCTAACCGTCAAATTTTGAGCCTTGAAACCCATGTGTGTCCAGAATTATTTCAAGAAGGTTTAGTTGATGCATTAAGATTAGACAAGAAAGCCATTTAGTCATCATGCCATTTAGTCATCATTATGCCTTCATCTATATGTTTGTATTTTTGTTTTTATATATGTCTTCATCACAATATGTCATCAACCAATTATGACTTTTCAGAGACATAGCCCAAAGGAAACCTTAACACAGCTGCTCTTCATAAATGCAGCATCAAATGAGTATTCCTGCTACCTACCTATCGCTAACTGTGCTATAGAACAGCCTATCTTATCAGCTATTAACGCCACTTCTCGTAACTTAGCCTGCTGTCTTCGTCCCTCTTCACATAATATCTTATCCTTCAACCAACAATAACCCTGTGTAAACAGAAATTAAACTCGAAATTCTCAATACTTACCTGTGAATCAAGGTACATTGTCACAATTGACGAGAAAAATATGATTTTGTAAAGATAAGTCAAACAGTTAGCATGTAACAACTTCTCAAGGCAGTGGCATAGAATTAAATTATTATAGGTCATTAAAAAATACTTTGCAGACCTTGCACAATAGTCCAAAAAAGCAAAAACCATTTTATACAGAAACCATTAGATAAGGATATTAATCCATACACTTAAACTACCTCTAAATAAAGTCCTGTCTGTTAGCCCAATACATGTGAAAAGTAGATCATAAAACTCCTTCCGGGGACTTTTCAAGTTTGTGTTTTGAATCATTCCGAAGTGTGTATCTATTAGTAAAGTGCCCTCCTGTTTCAGCCAAAATATAACCCTCTGTTTTGGCAAAAAGTATCAGATCCATCATCATACAATAATAAAACTGTAATCTTATATAGCTCAGAAACAACCAGTCAGCACGATGCTTACCTTGCAAGCTGCTCTGGAATAAATTGGAACACCATCTTCATATTTGCCTGATAAAATACCACAAGCTAGTGGTGACCAGGTTATAGTTCCAATACCTACAATTCACTTTTAGTTACAATTGACAAATGGTTCTTTATCTATTGCCAATAGCTGTTACTACTAAGCATAAATAAGATAGGAAATTACAAGGCACATTTCAATAAATGAAACCATACTTTTGTTTGAAATAATTCAATTGCTGACAAATTTCCCTTTCCAAAACTAGCTGCCTTGATTAAAATGGTGACTAATGAATTTATCAGCATGAGATCTGTCAAGCGCTATTCAATAAATACTAAAAAACACAATGTAAGAAATGAACCAACCTATTTTTTGGAATAATTCAGGCATTTGAACTTCAACCTTTTCTCTTTGGAATAAATGATACTCAGCTTGTTCTGCTATAGGTGGAATCAAATTAAACTGTCGGGCAACGGAATATGCTTCCTGCAATGGAATCGAGATACCTTTTGTCCCAAAACAAAGACATGATCTAATGTTAGTCTTCTCAAACAAAATTTATTTTTTTCATAAAGCACCACAAAACTGAATGAATTGGATTAATGAAAAGGCTATACAATGTTCAAATTCTAAGACCAGACACAACTGTCTGGATTATACTCCAGAAGGTGGTCCACTGGTGCAAGTTAAGGCACTTTGAGACAAAGTTATGATTTAACTGCAATTTTATTATCCTTCATATTCTGTAAATTTCAATGATTGCCTCCCTTGAGTCAGACTAAATGTTATCAAATCGTATCTTACCATAATTTCCATTGGACTCCAGCGTGATGTTCCCCAGTAAAGAGCCCAGCCCTGATTTATAATATGAGTAAAGGCACGTACAATCTCTGGAAAGATAAAAAGACAATGACATATGACTGATACCGCTAAGATTTGTGAGCTGCTAACAAGGGTGATCAACCCAACAATTCAATGAAGAGTTACATAGCTCAGATTACTATAGCGGAGTTCAAAAAGTCATGCTGTTAGGCAGGCATAGCCACCAAATTGATTGACACATAAAAGCATCAAACCCAACCAAAGTTTGATCCATCAAATGCTTAAATAATTTCACTCTTGTCAATATTGTGCTTTATTATGAAACAAAGCCCATTACTAACCTTCCATAGGAGTGTGCGCATCAGTTTTATTTGCAAATACAACATCAACATATTCTAACTGTAGCCTATCTAGAGACCCTCGTATACCTACAACATTAAAATCACATATCAGGTATTGATCCTAACAGTCTCCTTGATTTCTCAGAGCACAAAATTTGATTCTGGTATTTAGTCTTGTGATTCAGTGAAAAATAAACCAATTAGGCTAAAATAACTGCCATTAAATGAGTGAAGTCATTAGATCTTTTAAACTCTTGTTTGACAAATACTGCTATATCAATAACACCAATTTAAATGGTACTTGCAATCGTGACATCAAAGCCTTGTCATGTTTCAAGGATTTACGGAAACCACAGGAACCACATAATATGTCAGACAGAATACCAGAATGGTGCAAGCTCAGTCAGTCAGAGAATTGCTTTGTTAAATCAAACAAATTATGGTCTTGGGTTCTAATCTCTGTCACTTATTATTACAGTCAGCCCAGATGTAAATGTGTACAGATAACCTAGAATCTAAGAGGTTTTGCCAAGTTACAGCTAGTGGAAAGAATCCTTGTGAACCTAAGTTGCTATCCTTGTAAAAATAAGTTGTTAATTTCTCTTCTGTCTATCATAATTGTTATTTCACTCTATTTTGACACTGTTGCATGTTTAAGTATGATATATCATAGGCCTAGCTTACCTTCTACAATATGTTTTCTAGATAAACCTTTCTCTGTTTCTGCTCTAACAATATATAATAGATATATTAAATACTATTTGAAAAATGAAATGAAATGAATGTAGTACTATGTCTTATTTTTCTGCACTTGGACTAATGGAGAGGGATCCATTTGATAAAGGTACAGAAATAAAATGCAACATCCTAGTATACCAAGAGAGTTTCTTAAATATTGTCTGCTGACAAGACTAAACCTATATATGAGATAACTTCCATATAAATGTCACTTCAACTAGTGATATAATACTAAAAAAAGAATCATCAAATAATAATGATTTGTACAGCAAAAGCAAACATGAAGATTTTGTTCTTCCATAATAATTTTTGCTTCGATAAATATTTATCACTCCACCCCAAAATACTACATTTGTTTTGGTATGCAGAGTCAAAACATACTCCATCGTAGAGAATTTTGTTATAAGAATAATATTCATCTCTTGATTATAAAAAGATACCATCAGAATTGTGGATATCATAAAAAAAGTGTTGGCAATATAATAAAAGTTTATCTTACTTGCCGCCCCAGAATAACTTGGTAGATATGATATAACTAGACCTCCTGTAATGATACGAAATATCTAATATATATCATATACTATACACATTAGTAGCTCATAGATAGTCCAATATTTCAATTATTAATAGTGATATGATTGAGCACTGCGGACATGTCAGATAGTTGGGGATGTCAGAGGGCATTACAGATATTAGGGCTTCTGATTGTGCTGTATTTGCCAGTCATGTCTGATATTACCTCCAACAATAGTAGGAAATATCAATAAATATAACATTAATAATCATAGATAGCTCCTTGATAGTACTATATTTAAATAATTACAGTGATATCAAGGGGCAATGAGGACATGTCAGGGCTGTGGATTTAGATGTGTGAGCCAGTCATGTCCAAATAAAACTAAAACAAAGCCATAAAAAACATTAAATTCTGAAAGACAAACTATAAAAAATATAAAGAAACTCTTATACTACTTACCTCCAATTTTTCTTCTTTAATATTTTACCCAGGGTCACTTCTGCTCTGAAATAAGACAGAATACTCCATCAACATCAAATGATGACTGTTAAAATGTAACAAGATAAATTGCTGGTTAAGATCAAATATGCCAACTGGTAGCTTTGTTTCAATTGAAACATTCACCTGCAAGGAATATTTAGCTTCATATGTCATATGCTTCTTCAAATTTTATTTTTTTTACTTGTGTCGCATCACGGGGATTGTATTTTTTTTTTTTTCAATCATCATTTTTTGATCAGTTCTTTAAGGACACCAAGACAATGTTGCAGTTAGCACCCATGTGGGCACAGATCAAGATAGTGACATCCTAAAACACTGAGTTTTGCATCGAACTGCAAGAACCATAGACCTCTGACTAAAAATTAGAATAGTGCAAATGATGCTATCAATGTCCCAAATAAACACAAAATATCCAAAACCTCTTTACAATGCCTTTAAACAGTCTCATCAGCAGACGTACTGGGTCTGAAGATAAAAAAGGTTTTAGTTTATGAGATTTTATTTTCGGAGACAGCTATCTGTAGAGAAATTAAATTAACGACAGCTTTCTCTTTAACCTGCTAAGAGTATGTATAAATTGTCTGTCGAAAGTAAACAAAGTTTCAGACGCAAGGTTAATTCAAAGTGTTAAATTCAATAATTGAAATTGATTTTAACGTCACCAGAAACCTAAATGCACATCATTTCAAGTTGAAATTCATTGAAATCAACTTGTTGACGTTCAAGATCAATATTCCAACTTTAATAAGAAAAACATTAAGTCAATTTTAAAGATAGAAAATTTCAGACAATTGTTTCACTAAAAAATATCTGCGTGGGAGAAATATTTAACATTTCTAAATTTACACTTACAGTTGGAGTAATTGATAGTTCAACTTTGGTGTCTGGGACACAAAGGCCAGTTTCACCAAATCTCAACTTAACTTCATTTCAGTGTTCCTGTTATTTGATTGGTAAATTTATTTTAGTTTCTTTTAACTATCCAACAGTATTTCTTAATATCAGGATTTTATTTTAATGGAACAGGACCAGGCGCATTATTCTTGAAAACTTAACTTATAATAATGATATTAGCATGTAAGCCATCTGATTGGTCAATCACTAAAATCGATTTTAAATTTAGTTGTTTAATCCAATCAGATTACTGTGTTTCTTAAAATCTGGATTTTATTTAAGTAAAGATTAGGAGAATTAGGCCCCAATTCCTAATGCCAGCCAGGTTTTGTCAAGTTTCTTAGATTCATGACCCTTTGGCTGTTTAATGTTCAAAAATAAAGATTAACACAGCTCTGTTATAAAACATGGCATTTTTACGGGAGAGCCAATTGGCCATAGTCCTCCGTTCAAGCCTGTTTATTGCTCAAAATTCATCTCTGGCCATTTGAAATCCGTTGACTTCCCTGGGCCTCTAGCAGACTGCAGACCCCCAGCCTCTCCTAGGAGAGACACATCTCATTTTTGGCCTCCCCCCAAAGCAATTTTTAGATACGCCCCTGGTTATATGACTAAGAGGCTTTAATTATTTTCAGCACTGATTTGCTTGGATTGCTTTAAGAGTCAGTGGAATCTTCATGAAATGAGGGCAAGTGCTTACTTTTTTTCAAAGCACCTGATGGTACTTCGCTTTGGAGGAGTCCACTACCACACAACTTTTACTCTCGACTTTGCCATACTTTGGATGAGGTTTTGATTAACAGAATTGTCTTGCTTGTACGGAATTTTTATTTCACAAAAGATTATTTTAGTGTTTCTTTCATCTGATTGGTCCATCACAATGATCATTTTGATATCAAGCTTAATTCAGATTGCCATATTTTTAAAATCTGGATTTTTATCTAAGTTAAAGTTTTATGAAATTGGACTTCGATACATTTTCTACAGCCACAAATAATTGGAAGGTTGATCTGACTGAGGCTTTTAACTCAACCATGAATCATGCATTCAACTTTAAGTAGATATTTTTTATTTTTATATAGAACTAAAAACACTCTCTATCCTCTCTTTAAAGATCAATAATTTCATTGAAAATTGTTTAACTTGTTTTGAAGAACTAACAAAAAGGCCAGCAGCTTGCAGATTAGAATAATATAATATTATAGACCACAATTTTTAGGTTAAAACTTACAAATCATTAAACTTTGATTTCTTAGTACAGTCTGAATGTCTACAATAATATTATATAAAGACTTCAACTTTTTATTCAGAAAAAATATTCTTATTCAGAAAAGTAGGATGTAATTCTCCATTCAATTTCAATTCCAAATCTGATCTAGAGCTAATTTGACAATAATTATATTTGGAGGCCTGACTCTGTCAGTTGAAGGTCTCTTTTTCCCAAAAGTATTTATATTGTGTCTGTCTCTTTTAAATGTCAAATCTCATGCCATATTAATGAATTCTCCTGCCACTCAGTTGACATGTGCTATGAATATAACTCAATATAACTTAATTGTCATACACAGTTGCTGGTTTATTTTAAAGGGGCAGGTTCACCATTCGTTTGACCAATCATACTTTAGTCTCAGAGACGTTAATTTTTTAAGCTAAGTTAATCTGTAATAGTCTTGACAGCTCACTGTTGAAATTTGATCCTTCAAATCCATGTATGTACAAAGAGAGGGTAGGCCTACTATAGGCGAAAGCCTGTTCCCCAATCCTATTATGTACAGAAATATTGTTTATACAAAACAAGAGATTATCCTCATTTAATTGAATGTTAAAATGATGACTAGTCTCCCAAAAAAGGGTGAACTAAGTAACCTGGATGTCACTGGTTATTTTGCAGTACAGATATCCCGGTCTCTGTAGAATTCAACATCTATTTAACTGTCATTTGGTTAATTATTGAATTAATTCTCTCTAGTCTGCTTGGCATGTAAAATGGTCTGTAGAGAGGTAAGATTAGTACTAGTGCTAGGTATTGACAACCTTGCTGATTAATACAATATTACAATATATAATAATAATAATAATAATAATAATAATGATAATAATAATAGAAATAATAATGATAATAATAATAATAATGATAATAATAATGATAATAATAATAATAATAATAATAATAATAATAATAGAAATAATAATAATAATAGAAATAATAATAATAATAATAATAATAGAAATAATAATAATAATGATACTAACTAGAGCCACTCGTGGCACAGAGTGGGACTTTGCAAATGTAGCAATTTGCTAAAGACCCCGAAAAAATCAACCTTCGACGATAATTAGATCAAGTGCAAGAACAGTCTAAAGTTGAGAAATTTTCATTTTTTAGAAGATTCTAATACCGTAAGTAGACGTCAGACCTCACAAATGAAAGTATCAGCAGATAGCCAAGGTCAATGACCTTTGATCTTGTAAAGGAGAAGGTCTAAAAAGGTCAAGATCAAAATATATCCGTCATCAAAATTTCTAATTGCACACGACTATAAAACCAGAAGTTGACATAAGACAGCAAATATAAAAGTATAAATAGATAGCCAATGCCAATGACGTTTGATGTTAGAAAGGTCAAGGTCAACAAAGGTCAAGGTCAAAAATTGAAAATTTTGAATTTCCAAAACCTCTTCCTTTTTTTGAACTTCGAAGCGGAAACAACAGAATTTTTAAGACAAAGTGGCTCACAATATGAGGTAATTGTATGCAAAGTTCCATTTTGAACAAATGTATACTTTGCGAGTTATGCCCCTGGCCAAAAATGTCAATAATGAGTAATTTAACCCGGAAGTGCCACGCCCACTTCAATTTTTTTTGCATAGGTTAATTGATATTCAGAATGTTACGTTATGTTCGAAATGTAAAGCTCCTACATAATATAGGTCAAAAGATATAGGTCAACAAACGTCAACAAAGTTGAAAAATGAAAAAATCCAGATGTTAAAACCCGTTCCTTTTTTGAAACTATAAAGCTGAAACAACTGAGCTGTTAATACATACTGGCCAAAAGGATGAGGTAATTGTGTGCAAAGTCCCTTTTTGAACAAACGCATCCTATGCGAGTTATGCCCCTGCCTCTAAATGTAAACAATTAGTAATTCAACCCGGATGTGCCACGCCCACATAAGTTTTTTTGTCATAGGTGAATTCATATTTAAAGTGTCTACTTGTATTCCAAATATCAAGGTTCTACATCAAATAGATCATACATATACATATACATATACCAAGCTCAAAAAGACGCAAATATTGTAAAAAAAAAAAAAACTCAAATTTGAAAAAATCCCGAATTTCAATTTTGCTTTAAAATAACGATTGTTATATATCTATGTAAAGTGCATGAGAAGCACATTAGGAAACCGAAAAAATTAACCCTCTAGGTTAATTAGGTCACGTGCTAGAGCAGTCCAAAGTTGCGAATTTGGCTTTATACGGATAGCTATAAAACCGGAAGTACATGTGGGAGGTCAAAGGTCAAAGTATCAAATGATAGCCAAGGTCAATGACCTTTGACCCTATGAAGGTCAAGGTCATCAAAGGTCAAGGTCACATGGTGTGATCGTTTAAAGCTTTAAAAAATTTCAACCGGAAGTTGCAAAAAAGCAAAAGCGAAATTCAAAATTCGGCTCCCAATGTTTTTTGCGCAATCGATTGCAGAATACATTCACATCAAATTTGAGCATATCAACTTTTACCCTGAGGCCCCATTTTGAGTTTTACAAAATTGTGTTTTTTCAATATGGCGGCCAAAGTATCTCTTCCGGTCTGGATTTTATTTTAAAATCGGCCATAAAATTTCATTTGCCAAAGATCAGCCAAATTTTGTTGACCTACATAAATTACACCGGAAGTTATTCAACCGGAAGTAGATTTGAAGTTCAGTCGCTTTCCTGTTGAAAATCGGAAATGACGTACAAAATTTGACTGTATCATATTATTAACATTAGTGAAGTCTCTTTGCATTTAAAATTTCAGATCAATCGATGCAAAAGCAAAAAAGTTGCAAAAAAATCGAAATATTTGATCGAAAAAAGTGAGCGACGAATTTTCGAATTTCGGAATTTTTCAAGTGCTATCAGGTCAGAAATTACAGGTAGATTTTAAAAATGAAAACCCGAAGAAAATCGATGCAAAAATTCGCCTTCTAGAGCCGATTTTCGACTTTTTGCACATGTTGAACTGTGGCACTTCTTGTTTTGCAAAAATGCTCCAATTTATATTTATGCACATCGTCACCTATATAGAAGGTCTATGAAATTTGAAACGTTGCTGCAACTACTGCAGTCTAAGCTCGGGAAGGTGTGGACGAAACGAAAAAGAATGGACATTTCGATAACAAACTGGGACTTTGCTGAAAGCAAAGTCCCACAATAATAATAATTGGGTAATCAATTAGGACTATGCCTTTTTAACATTGAGCTTGTATAGAATATATAACTGTACATAACACATGTACAATGCAATAATAACTTATGTAAAGTAAAAGTAATTTAAATGTTGGATACACAAATAAAAATACAAATGATAATGCTCCACAAAAATGGAGTTTAGACAATTTCTTGCAGGAATAAGCTGACTTGGCCTGTTTGATGGCTGTAAAATAGCACTTAATCTTCAAAGTTTCAATGATTTTTAAAGACTGTCTGTTAAGATAAATCATATTAATTGTCTTTAAATTGATCTGCATTTTCAGTTCGGATCAGACAGGACACACTGGAGATGTGAACTTTTCAAGAATATCCTTGTTAAATGTATGTAATGCGCCTGCCCACATTCAGTCAGACTTTTTCGTTTCGTTTTCTTAAAAGTTATTATCTTAAATCAGCCATGAGAAATGATAATAACCAACCAAAATAAAGATATAACAATAAATGAATAAAGACTTACTTGCCAGCTGAGTAAACTTCGGCAGTATCAAAGAAATTTATACCATTATCATACGCCAATGTCAACAATTCTTCTGCCACCTGAATTATTACATCATAGTATCAATAATAGCGATAATAGAGATAGGAGGTATAATTTATAGTATATTGAGTTTCGTTATCTGAATTACTACATCATAGTATCAATAATAGCGATAATATCAATAGAAGGTATAATTTATAGAATATTGAGTTCAGTTATCTGAATTATTACATCATAGTATCAATAATATCAATAGGAGATATAATTTACAGTATATTGAGTTTCGTTATCTGAATTATTACATCATAGTATCAATAATAGCGATAATATCAATAGGAGGTATAATTTATAGAATATTGAGTTCAGTTATCTGAATTATTACATCATAATATCAATAGTATCAATAATATCATTAGCAGGTATAATTTATTGTATATTGAGTTCAGTTATCTGAATTATTACATCATAGTATCAATAATATCAATAGGAGGTATAATTTATAGTATATTGAGTTCAGTTATCTGAATTATTACATCATAGTATCAATAATAGCGATACAATAGGAGGTATAATTTATAGTATATTGAGTTTCAGTTATCTGAATTATTACATCATAGTATCAATAATAGCGATAATATCAATAGGAGGTATAATTTATAGTATATTGAGTTTCGTTATCTGAATTATTACATCATAGTATCAATAATAGCAATAGGAGGTATAATTTATAGTATATTGAGTTCAGTTATCTGAATTATTACATCATAGTATCAATAATATCAATAGGAGGTATAATTTATAGAATATTGAGTTCAGTTATCTGAATTATTACATCATAATATCAATAATATCAATAGGAGGTATAATTTATAGAATATTGAGTTCAGATATCTGAATTATTACATCATAGTATCAATAATACAATAATATCAATAGGAGGTATAATTTATAGTATATTGAGTTCAGTTATCTGAATTGTTACATCATAATATCAATAATAGCAATAGGAGGTATAATTTATAGAATATTGAGTTCAGTTATGTGAATTATTACATCATAATATCAATAATAGCAATAGGAGGTATAATTTATAGTTTATTGAGTTCAGTTATCTGAATTATTACATCATAGTATCAATAATATCAATAGGAGGTATAATTTATAGAATATTGAGTTCAGTTATCTGAATTGTTACATCATAATATCAATAATAATAATAGCAATAGGAGGTATAATTTATAGTATATTGAGTTCAGTTATCTGAATTGTTACATCATAATATCAATAATAATAATAGCAATAGGAGGTATAATTTATAGTATATTGAGTTCAGTTATCTGAATTGTTACATCATAAAATCAATAATAATAATAGCAATAGGAGGTATAATTTATAGTATATTGAGTTCAGTTATCTGAATTATTACATCATAATATCAATAATAGCAATAGGAGGTATAATTCATAGTTTATTGAGTTCAGTTATCTGAATTGTTACATCATAATATCAATAATAATAATAGCAATAGGAGGTATAATTTATAGTTGATTGAGTTCAGTTATCTGAATTGTTACATCATAATATCAATAATAGCAATAGGAGGTATAATTTATAGTATATTGAGTTCAGTTATCTGAATTAT